TCCTTGAGGGGGAGAGCAATGTCTCACGGGAATTGATGATGATTGGATGCTAATCCCCCCACCCTTGCATTTCATTCCTTTCCCCTATTTTTTGTCAAGCTGCAAGCAAAGTGGAATATAGATGAAAGTTTGAGTTAGTCTTGACAGATGGGAAGGAAATAAAAAACCAGATATAGGAAGTAAACCTACGATCAGCCATAAAGGATAGAAATGCCTATATTCAAATGCTCAATGTTTGGGAACAAACAAGATGAAATACTGGTACATAAGGGCAAGTATGATATAATTATCATCATCAAAATTTAGTGGGTTGAAATGGATGACTGGAATTTACTGATGAATGAAATGGATGACTGGAATTTACCTCTCACCCCCTCTATCCACCCATCTATACAAACTGTTCAAAAGAAATAGACCTAACAAAAGAGGAGGTGGAGTTGCATTATATGTAAAAGATTACTACATCTCTATAGAGATGTACAAAACCTAAAATGAAAGCCTCCTACATATGGGTCAATATATAAAGAAAAAGGAATAACATTTCCATAGGTATATACTACAGGCCTTCCAACCAAACAGTTGAAATAGACAAATTTTTTGCTAACCAGTTAACAAATGTATGTAGGAAACACAGCACAGGAGTAATGAGGGACTCTAAATACCCTGATATCAACCGGGAAACAAGCTCTGCATAAAGTGGGAGATCAAACAGGTTCTTGACTAACCTAGCTGACAACTTTGTCATCTGAAAGGTAAAGGGAATTCAAGGGAAAGTTTATTGGATCTAATACTAACAGAGAAAAAATGATAGAGGGTTGAAGTTGCTGGAACTTTGGGTGAGAGTGACCATGTCATATTGGAATTCAGTATAATGCAAGTACAAACAATAGAACATAATCAAACCAATGTTTATAAACCGGCCTTTAAAAGAGCTGGCTTTAACAAACCCTAGAGAGTTTGTGAAGGATTCAATGCATTAAAATCTTAAAGGGGAACAGAACTCAAGAAGCTTGGGAAACTCTGGAAAATAGGATTATGAAAGCCTACTCCAGCTCAAAACCACTAAAAAAGAAAAACAAGCATGATTATACAAAGAACTCTCTCATAAATTGAAAGACAAAAAGGTACAAAATATTGAAAGAGGGACATATTACTAAGACAGAACACCAACAAATAACCTGAACTTGCAAAGATGAAGTCAGGAAAGCTAGACTTGCAAATAATAATAAAAAAATTCTTTCAACGTATAAAAAACAAAAACAAAAAAAAGTCAAGGAAACAATTGGTCCATTAATGAAAGAAGATGGCAAGAAAGAAACAGGCAGTAGAGAGAAAGCTGAGCTGTTTAATTTATTCTTGGCATCTGTCCTCATGCAAAAAGATAATACAGCCCAAGCTATCAAGAACATAACTATAAAAGAGAGAGACTAGGAATACAAATTAAAATAAGTAAGAAAATAGTAAAAGAACACTTATCCACTCTAGATGACTTCAGATAGCCAGGACCTGATGAATCACATGCCAGAGTTCTGAAGGATCTGGCAAGTGTGATCTTAGAACCATTGAATCATATTTTTCAAAGACCGTGGAGCACCAAGGAACAAAAGTGATGTGGTTCCCTGGACAGGGATGGCATTCAGATTTTTAAACAACCGGTTCTGTGGGCATGGCTTGGTGGGCGTGGCTAGGTGGTCATGTGACTGGGTGGGTCAAAAGAGAGAAACTTACTTTAACAATGCTTTTGGAGCAGGGGTTGAACTAGATGATCTCTGAGATCCCTTCCAGGCCTGGATTGCTTTGCTGTTTCAAAGCATACTCTGAAGCTGTTTCTAGTGGTTTGTGTGGTCCTTCCTTCTTTTCCTTTTTCTCTCCCTCTCTCCCTCCCATCCCCTCTATCCATCCATCTATATCTCATTCACTTTCCTTTCCCTTCCCTCTTTTTCCCTTCCCTCTTTCTCCCTTCCCTTCCTTTCTTTCTCCCTTCCCTCCCTCCATCCCTCTTTCTTTCTCCCCTCCCTCTTTCTTTTATTTCACTTCCTTCCCTTCCTTCCCTTTCTTTCTTTCTTTCTTTCTTTCTTTCTTTCTTTCTTTCTTTCTTTCTTTCTTTCTTTCTTTCTTTCTTTCTCCCTTCCCTTCCTTCCCTCCCTCTTTCTTTCTTTCTCTTTCTCCCTTCCCCCTTTCTTTCTCCCATCCCTCCTTTCTTTCTCTTCTCTTCTTTCTTTGCACTTCCCGTGCCCAATTTTGGGCCTAGGAAGCCTCCCTGGAGCCTCAGAAGAGCCAAAATGGGGCATGGAGGTGGTCTTGCCACACACTCCCATGCCCCATTTTGGGCCTAGGAAGCTTCCCTGGAGCCTCCTGGGAGCAAAAACAGGATGTGGGGAGGCAGAGATGCACTCCCCGTGCCCGATTTTGGGCCTAGCAAGCTCCCTGCACTTACTTGGGAGCCAGAATCAGGTGCGTGGGGACTCCTGGGAGGGGTGGGGCCAGGCATGGCCAGCTGGTCTTCAGAACTACTGAACTTGATGTAAAATTAACTTGATGTAAAATTAACATCCAGTTTGCTCAAATTGGCCTGAATGGCTGAATCCCACCCCTGGATTCCCATCATCAAAAAAAAAAAAAAAAGGGAAGGGGGTAAAAACACAGATGCAAGAACCTACAGACAAATCACCTGTGAAGATCCTGAAAAACCTAATCAAGCAATGTATCTGAGAGAACATAGAAGCAAGCAAAGTTGTAATCAGTAGCTAACACAGGTTTGTCAAAAAGAAATCATGCCAGCAAATCTTACTTCATTTTTCTACAAAGAGTCTAAATTAGTGGACCAGTGAAATGCAGTTTACTTGGATTTCAGTAAGACATTTGACAAAGTACACCACAACCTGCTTCTTAGTAAGTATTGCCATGGATTTGTAATGGTAAGTGTATGGAGTTGTAATTGTAATTGGCTGACAAACCTCACTCAACATGCAGTCCTTAATGAAATTCCACAAAGAGAAAAGTAAGGTTTTATACTTATCCCCCCCCACACACACACAATCAAATGCACAGGTATAGAGTAGGGGGTACCTGGCTCAATAGTAAGAACTCTCAGACTGATCTTGGACAATCATTTAAATATGATCCAGCAATGTGCAGCAACTGCCAAAAAAGCCAATGCAATCCTAGGTTGCATTAACAGAGGGATAGAATCAAGATCACATGAATTATTAGTAACTCTTTTATAAAACCTTAGTAAGATCACATTTAAATGCACGTTTGGTCACCACATTATAAAAAAGATATTGAGATTCTGGAAAGAGTACAAAAAGAACACAAAGATTATTAGGAGGATGGAGACTGTTAGGAATGATAATCACCTAACAGTTGGGTTTGCAATATATAAACCAGGATAGTCATTTAATACTGTTGTAGCTTTAAGAGAATGCTGTATTTGTGATTGGCTGAAGTTCTTCCAATGGCCATCAGATGGAGCCAGAAACCTGGTTTGTTCTCTTCTTGCATTTCCCTATTGCCTTTTGCCTGATCGTCGTTCTACTTGGATTGCTGTGAGTTTTGCAAACTGTTAGCAAACTCTGTATACTGAACTTTGTTTATGATACTGGATTATTCCTGGACTGATCGTATTGAATACTACCTGCTTTAACCGTGTATGATTTGGACTGTTGGTGTTGGACTTTGTTTACCCATTTACTGGAAGTAAAACTTACATTTTACTATTCAGTGTATCTGTATGCTGGTTGTGTGTTATTCATCACCACTCTCACTACGTTTCCCTGAGTGCACTCATTCTCCTAACGGGGACTACCTTAACAGAGGCTAAAACTGGAAGAACAGTTACAGGAATTGGATATGTCTAGTCTAGTGAAAAGAAGGACTAGAATAGCTTCATAGCAGTTCCAATATTTGAGGGACTGTCACAAAGAAGAGAGGATCAACATATTTTCCAAAGCTCTAGAAGGCAAGAGAAGAAACAATGAATGGAAACTTATCAAGAGAAACAACCTAGAACTAAGGAAAAATTTCCTAACAGAGAGAATAATTAACCACTGGAACAGCTTGCTTTCAGAGTGGGTGCTCTGGATCTTTTAAAAAGATATGGGGCAGCCACTTGTCTAGAATGGTGGCCTATTGTTCTTCTGACTTAATCCCTAGCATTCCCACTACCAATCAAAAAGGCTACCGCATATCATTCCCCAAGACTGACATGCCTTGCAATTGTCCTCATGACCCAGCACTTCTTAAGATCACATTTTTCATGTTTACATTAAGGCAATGTTCTTTTTGTATTGACAGGTCCCTGTGGCATTCCTGAAGCTGCCCTGAGTAACCCAAGACATTTATTGTTGAAGGGACCTCCGAAAATGCTCTTCTCTGACCTTTGCTGCCTCCAAAAATTGTGTGAATTCTTGCCTGATTCTCAGGGGCTGCAGAGGTTATGCAACAGCATAGCCGTTTAGTGTGACTTCCAGAGATTGTGGATCACACCACGTTCTTGTGAAACTTCAACAGCTCTTGAAAATCAAGCAAGAGTGGGATATGTTTTTGAGAACAATTGTTGTCAGGTGTTGGTGAATGCTGGCAGGACACCCAAATGTCATGGTGTATGGTCTTTGACATGTGTGAATAATCTAGTGAGTAGAAGGCAGAGACCAAAGGCAACAGAACTTGGATCACTATAAGGCTCATTGTTAATGGAGCAATTTCAGAAAGTTGAAGGAAGAGAAAATATGAAAAGAATTATCAGTCATTTGGAAAACATGACTGGCATATTTATGGGAATGTAAGTTGACTGAGTAATCAAGACATGAACATTATTAGTATGGTATCATTGGTGCTCTTCGAGATTGGTTATTTTCTTTACCAAAATAAAAACATCATCAGTAGCAATATTCTCTTCCATTATTAAAATACTGTAAGCATTTCTTCATAAAACATTGCCTATTTTAAAAATCAATTGTTTTGAGGGACGTAGGGAGGAAGGAAAGAAGGAAGAATACCTCATATGTATAATTTGGACAGGAAACAAGTGTAAAAATCCATGTGAAAGGATTGAGTGTTGGACTTGGAAAAGATACTTTATTTCCTGTTGGGAAAAAGAAAAGGAAAATATTGAGCTCAGGAATTAGAAGAGATTTATTTATTCCATTGTATGCATATCTATTTTCATTTACAGAAAAAGTACTTTCATTATAAATTTATTTTATGTTCAGGTATTTATGTTATAAATGTAATTCAATTTCAACTGTTCTTTAACTATTGTGGTTTCCATAGCTTGAATTGACATTCAAAAGATTCTCCTCCATTTTATAAGTTTATACAGGATTCCAGGAAGGAAACTATATTCCTTCAAAATGTTTAAGTTTAGCACTGCCAGGCAGGGTAGAATGTGCATTATGAATGTGCACTTATATAAAGTAGCAATATTACCATAAGATGATGAGAAAAAAAAATCCTTACCAAGACTGGAAAAATCAAATACAGGTATAGAATAGATAGCATCTTGCTCAACAATAGTAACCGTGAGAGGGATCTAGGTCCAAGTGGACCACCACTTAAGTATGACCCAGCATTTAGAGTCTTATAGTATTAATCTATACTAGTAGTAATAGGAATAATAGTGGGAAGGGCCCTTGAACGTCTTCTTGTCCAACCCCTTGCTCATCCATTCTATGAAATCCCCCCTGTTCCCAGGCACAGGAATATGGCAGCATGGAAGCTTCTGGTGCTAATATGGCTTCCAAGGCTGACACAAGGAAGAAAAAATAAGGAAAAGGGGGAAGGAAGAAGAAAGGAGAATGAAGAGGGAAGGAAAAAGAAGAAAAGGAAGAAAGGAAAGAAGGAAGGAAAGAAGGAAGGTGATTATAATGAGAGGGAGGGAAGTTTGAGGAAAGTCCTGCTTTAGCATTTGGCCACCACTGATGCCCCAACACGAGTGATGTCAAGTTGGCCACGCCCACCCCAGCCACTTCCATCCGGCCCTTCAAGGTCAAACACAACCCTGATGCAGCCTTAATGAAATCGATTTTGATACCCTTGATCTAGAGAACCAGAAAGAAACATTGTCCTTGCCCAGTTTTCTCTTTGCATTAAGATAGTTTACGATACTCAAACATTAAGAATAATGCTATGAAAAAATTAAAAGTTAGGAACTGAAAAATAAACTACAAACCTGACTGATTTTGATGAACCAAAGCCACATTGATAAAATGGTTTCCAGCTTCACATACCTGTAAAATATTTCAAATTTATTTCAATTTTTTTGTACAGTTGGACATTATAATTCTGTAACCTATTGATATATTATCTGGCAAGCCTAGTAAATACAGGTTAAGAAAAAGCAAGCGAGGGAAGAAGGCGGAGCCTCCTCACTGACAGACCGTAGATCGTGACTCTCTGTGGCTATGGTCCATGCTCTTTTGTTGGAGAGCCCTGATCATTACAATTAGGGTCTGAAGCTGCCTTGGAGGGGCGGTGGAGTAAGGGGAAGCCGCAAGCCAGGTTGAGGGACCGCATATCCCGCCACTTGGGCTTGGTCTTTTTCCCCCCGAAGATGACTGCAGCGGTTGTTCAAAATGGCCACCCCGAAGAGGATGACTCAGCTGGATTAAGATTTGTGCAGGAGGGAAGAAAGAGGTGGATTACATCTGAACTGGGAGAACTGGGCAATACAACTAAACAAAAGTACCCTGGGATTAAAGTAACATGGAATTTTTAAGAAAAGAAAAGTGAGCAGTGAAATTACAAAGGGACAGGAAAAAAAAAAGAAAATATTTTTGACAATTAAGCGGGGCTTTGAATCGGGAAAGGAAGAAGCTGGAACTAAAGATTTAATTAAATTGGACTAAAATATTTTGGGAATAAACAGGCATAAAATAAAGCTGGACTTAAGATTGTCAAATAATAATAATAATAAAGTTTACAAATTGGAGACTGGACTGGACTGGAATATTGAGGTTCGAAAAACCCTAAATAAAAAATAGGGGGAAAAGGTGAAGACTTTGTAAAATGGAGAATGCCACCTTTTGACAAAAAGGGAAAGCATCCTGTTTCTAAATGAACTTGTGTGGATATAACATTAAAGAAATATTGAAACAAAGTAAGAATCTTAGAAAGTGAAAGCAGAACCAGAATAAAGAAAAAAAAACAAGGAAAGACTGACTGTGGGATTGATTGATGTTTTTGGTATAGACCCTGGGAAGGGAATAATTGAGAACTTTAGAAAATTGAAAGAAGAAAGAAGAAAGTAAAAGTGGTTTTTTTGTGGACTTCAACAATCAAAAAATATAAGAGTGTCTAATGATGATATCTTCGGGAATTAAAAATGGAACTTAAAAATATGAGAGAATTACTAAGGAAAGAGGCAAATTACTTTGCTCTGTGTTAGAAAAAATGGAAATGGTGATTGAAGAACAAGAAGAACTAGCTTCAGAGGAGGAGGAGTCGATTCAAGGAGAAGGCATTTTAAATAGACAATTAACACAAAGAACACTACAAAGAAGTGGGGAAAGAAGGAAGGTTAAAAAGTTGAGATTTAAGAAGGCAATCAAAAGGGGGAATACCTGTGAAATCGGGAAAGGCAGAAAGACCCAACAGAAAAGGGGAAAGGAAGATATTAAGAAAGAGAGGGATATAAACTGGAATGAGAAAAGATATGGGGAAAAGAGGGAGAGGAGAAGCAGTAAGAAACAGATACATGAAATAAAGAAATACAGAAATAGTAAAATATTGAAAAGAAATTGTTTTTTCAGAGATAATGGTTGATGAATTAAAAAGGGGATTCTGCAGGGTTACAAGGGGTAATAAGAATATTTCTGCAATTAAAAATATTTAGAAAATAGGGTAATATAGATAGTGATGACTCTTATTAAAAATCAAGGGAGGAAAATATGCTGTGGAATCCAAGTGAAAAGATGTAATGATTATTATTGTAACTTCTTAAAAATACTGGTTTATTGGGAATTAAGATGAGGGAATAAAGGTATATTTTAATCATTGGGGTGTCACACTCAAAACAGTAAAAGGGGGGAAACCTATACTTGTTTTTTATTTTTAGTGTTAAAATTTGTATTAATCTAGAATTTATAAAAAGAATGCATAATGGAAAGGGAATATGACATACTAAAGAACCAACTAAATTAATAAGTTAATATAGACTATTAAAAGGAAGGAGAGACATTGGTAACTTTTTTTATTATTATCATTATCATCATCATCATTATTATTAGGCAAACACATATTGTTTATCTTTATTTTTAAAATAAATATTAAAGGATTATATTTGAAATAATTGAAATGAAACAAAAAGATGTTTCGACTGAGAGCAATGAAAGAGGCTAGAATTAATGTGTTTATTTTTCCCTTACTGAAAATTTGGAATGCAAAAGGTAATAATAGAATTAAGTATGCATATATCAATGTATAATTGCTGTCATATTTGTATGTAAAGTTGATGACCCGGAAACATGTTGTCCACTAAAAAGAGATTTTTGTTTTTAATGTGAAAAACTGAATAAAGTTTGTTTAAAAAAAAGAAAGAAAGAAAAAGCAAGCAAGCCCTATTTATATTCTCATACTATTCAAGAATATGAATGTCAAAAACATCAAGAAAAGTATGCTGTTTACAAAATGTAAAAATGTTCCTACAGTAACATCATGAACTGTGTCATCTAGGCTTTCTTCACTAGAGATTTATGGAGTACTCAATGTTTTTTTTATTAAATTTTATAGCTATCAATCGTTAGCGTGCCTGGTCCCAGCAGTTAGCGTTAAATTTATTAGGGGTTCCCAGCTTAAATGAACTAAAATCCCCCACCAAAAATGTGTTTGACTTTCAACAATTGTAATGCTGTACATTTCCCTGTTTTAAAAGTGGGCTGAGGAGAAAGTAAGATGGATTAAACATGAGAAAAGAAGCTAATGTTCCAAATGGAAGACAGTGACATTTTGGTCTTGGATAAAATCCTAGTAAGGTTGGCGGCACAGTGATTTCAAAACAAGACACTCATTTGGAACCATCCTTGATTTTTGCAGTTAGTTCTCATGTTGTGACTTATAGAGATAAATACATGTAATTAGCTAAGCATTGTCTGTTGTCTGCTGCATAGTCTGTAATTACCCTGAGTTTTCCTGACTTAGCAAATTAAAACTTTCTAACCTTAAGAAATTGCAGTTTATGAATATACTCTTTGTATGTAGTATACCTTTTTATTCATTTAAATGCTTACATGACCAACTACTATCATTCTGATATCAACATGAAAATGGCAGCTTTTAATTTTCATTTCAGAAACAAATTCAGATCATATAAAGCATAGGGCCTTCAAAGGAGCTTTTTAAAAAAATCCTTCACCAGTGTCATTCCCCTAAAGACATTTATGTATACTAGATATTTCCCACACTCATATTTATTCTTCAGCTGCTTGCCTATACATACCAGAAATCCGAAGGTAGCAAAAGAAACTTGTTTATTTCCAAATGCTAGAAAATATAATAAAACAATACATTAGTCTTAGATGATTGTAGGTACCAGAGGAACATTTTAGTATCTACAATAATATATAATTGATATATAATTCACAGGATTTTGTCTGTTTGGAAACTTAACTCTTTGATATCACAGTGTTTTGTGCATCAATATGTACTCAAAAACAAATGCTTAATTCACAATATTTAATTCAATATATTTCTACATATTTAACCCAACAAAAGGAAACAAAAATATTGATCTATTTTACATACATAATTATTATTTTGCTGCAGGTTTCCTACAGTTTATTGGATTAATCCATTTCAGACAAACCATTTTGGAATAAACCAATTAAGATATTAAATATCTCATGGGAAGCCCATATTCCACCCCAAGACGGACCACAGTTCAGTGAGATCAACTATGTTTCTCTTATACAAATGCAACTGTGATTCTGTTACAATATTTATGGCTTCTACAAAACATTATGTAGTAGCATGGCCTCACATCACAGGAAAAATTATACCGCTTTCTCACATTAGGAATATCAGATGGAGAGAAAACATGGGACAGAATTCCTTTGCTAGCAAATGTTTATAAAAATAAGTACTTTCATTGTAAAAGTTGTTTTTTTAAAAATATGCCAATGCAAAGGTAAATAATTTCCAGTCATAAGAAAATGCTAAAAGAATGCTATGTAGGTCTATTACTTAAGCACATCCCTCTGTTCTACTTACATGGAGGAGTATACTGGGGGTGGTTGATGTAGTAAGCAAACCAAGAAGTAAATCCCCAGTAAAAAGCACAGCCCTATAATGGAAACTACAGGTAAATATAATATAGATGTTGATATGGAATATACACATAAATACTATTTTAATACTATTTTATTTATTTTTATTTTCTTACCAAAAAGAGCGTAACTACCTTGCATGACTCTAAAAGAAGTACTAGGGCGAAGTTGTTCTACATAAAGTTTCTGTGTATGATGAATCACACTCTTTCTTTTAACTATCACATCAGAAAGAACACCACAGGAACAGAATAAACAGAATACAGAACAGATAGTTCCTGATCTTCCCTGACATTTTTTTACCCAAAGGACTGTTGAATCTTTATGAGTGAACACTAAAAATTACAGAAGAACTCCATTTTCTGTTCAAAAGTATATATATTTCAAATTAAACTTAACGGGAGTTTCTTATTGGTAAGATTGCTATTAAGTAAAGAATTCAGAGATATGTAATCTCCCTGAGGCAATCAAATAATGTAGATATTATGATATCTCATATTCGTCCAAAGGAGACATTACATTTAATACACTGTTATTGTCTCCTGCATTAAATGCAGCACATAACTATACTATGTCATCCAAAATGCCCCCCAACAGCAGTAGCAATTGAATCTTTTTTATTTTTCCAGAGAGTCACAGTATATTCCAGCAGCATTGAAGATATATTCAGCTAAGGCTAGCGCACAATTACTCTTTAGTACTCAGCTGGGACCTTATTCCTCTTTTATTCCTCTGGAAAGGGCACAATCCAAATTCCTAAGAGGCCTATTCAGGTAGCTCACTGCGTCCCAAATGCAATACTAAGGAGGTGCATAGGTTTACATTTTTACACATTGGCTAAAACTACTTTTTTTTTGGGTGGGGGGCAGGTTCTCTCCTTATAGAAGACAATTTCAAATCAGTATGGTTGAGGACCATTTTACAAAAACTCAGTAATTTGGTTTCTCCAGGGAAGTGCTTTTAATGATGCGGCACCCTTAGTCAGTGGTGGGATTCAAATTTTTTTACTACCGGTTCTGTGGGCATGGCTTGGTGGGTGTGGTGTGGCTTGGTGGGTGTAGCTTGGTGGGCATGGCAGGGAAAGGATACTGTAAAATCTCCATTCCCACCCCACTCAGAAAACAACAACTGAATGATAAACTGCTGCTGACCTTCTACTGCTGCACTATATAGAGTATCTTAACTTACTGCACCTCTGTATGGTTTGCCAATTGCACTGTGGCAGATAGGAAAGCACTCCAGAGGGTTAATGTCATTGCCCAGAAGATCATTGGTTGCCCTCTTCCCTCTTTGGAAGAGCTTTATAATTCCTGCTTAAGAAAGTGCAAAACATTCTCAAAGATCCATCTCATCCTGGGAACCCTTTTTTTTGAACTATTACCATCTGGCAGATGGTACAGAATAATAAAAACAAGGACAAATAGGCTGACAAACAGCTTCTATCCCAGGGCAGTAGCTCTTTGGAATTCTGCTGCATAGTGCAGTGTTGATGTGATGTCAGGGGTTTTCAGTTCAATGTGTGAAGGGTGAAGGATGTGTGTTTATGTTTATTTTCATGGTCATGATGTGCACTGAAGATGGTGTTTGATTTTGTTGTACGAGGTGCAATGATAATAAAGTAAACTAAACTAAACTCCAGGGAAAGGATACTGTAAAATCTTCATTCCCACCCCACTCCAGGGGAAGGATACTGTAAAATCCCCATTCTCTCCCCGCCCCACTAACCTGCTTTCCAGCTCTGTTCTCCTGTGCAGGGCAACAAAAGAAGACCCAGCTGATCAGCTGGGACTCGGGAGTCAGAGAATAGATGAGGTGGGGCCAGTCAGAGATAGTCGAATTTCCACTACTGGTTCTCCAGGACTGGTCAGAACCTGCTGAATACCACCTCTGCCCTTAGTGCACTTAACAATTGTATTAAAGACCTGGAAATCCAATAAGATCGGCTGCTTTTTCCAAGAAAGTTTATTTAAGCATTACCCTTTTTAAAGTAGCATGATATTTATATAAAACAACCATCCCCCAAATCCAAAGGGATTAACTTTAGCACACTCATACTTCCCACAGAAAGACAATAGAAAAAAATACCATGTGACCTGAGACTGTGCCCCTTTGGACAAGGGGTCACTGAAATTGTAGCTCATGTCCTACTATACTGTATATAGTGTAGAGCATATACTATAATGTATATACTGTATATATACTGTATATATACTCACAGATTCAATCTTACCTAATAAAATATCTGGGAAAATTGATCTTTTTCATCTGCAACTACACTATTATCAGATCAGTGCAAAGTAATTCTCCAAGTGCAGCCAAATTCTACTATGTTGTACATAAAATTAGGAACAGCCCACTGTTAATCCACCACCAATCACAGTATATTATTCTATCTTTTATTTTTCTTACTATTGTTGTTGTTATTGTTGTTATTTTTATTCTTATTAATTTATTGTAAAATAATGTTGTCTATGACTGTAATAAAAATTGATGATGACAATATTTCTCCATATCCCCATACAGCCACTGAAAACTTTTGACGGAGAGTCCTGTTTTTATTGGCTTCATGCCTAGGTCTTGCTCACCAAAAATATTCATTCCCCAAATTTCATGTGAATCTAGATTTTTCTTCCTTATCTTTCAAAGGAAATAGATGATTAACTCTACCCAAATTCCTAAGAATCCAAGGTTACAGATGGTTATTTTTCACGTGAGAGCAGCATAGCAGCATCCTATTTTTAGGTTATTATAGGATTTTATATAAATGTATGTATGGTATGATATGGTATGGTATGGTATGGCACGGTGTAGTATAGTGTAGTGTAGAATAGTACAGCACAGATTGGAAACATGCTGAAGCTAAACACCAGATTCCCTTCCCATCATTTTGGGAGATTTCAAACAAGCAAATTTAAGGAAAGAGCTCCCAAAATATTTCCAGCATGTAAATTGTCCCACCAGAGGCAAAAATACTTTAGACCATTGCTACACAACAGTAAAAGATGTTTATAGGTCTTTACCATGAGCAGCTGTGGGACACTCTGATTACTGCATGATTCACCTTGTACCTGCCTACAGACAAAGACTTAAAACCATGAAACCAAGAATTAAATCAGTGAGGACTTAGTCTGATGAGGCAAAGCTGAAGCTCCAGGATTGCCTTGATTGCACTAATTGGAATGTTTTTGAAGATACCTCCGCAGACCTAGATGAGCTCACAGATACTGTAACATCATATATCAGCTTCTGTGAAGACTTATGTGTACTAACAAGGAACCTGCAAATATATAGTAACAATAAACCTTGGTTCACAGCTAAACTTAAGCAGCTACTAAAGAGGAAGCCTACAGAAAAGGTGACAGAATACTATACAATCAGGCCAGAAACCTATTAACAAGAGAGATCAGAGCAGTAAAAAGAAGCTACTCTAAAAAAGTTAAGGAATCAGTTCTCAACAAATTAACCAGCAAATATGTGGAAAACTTAAAAACATCACTGGCTACAGCAAATCTCCTTCCCAGGCAGAAGGAAATCAACAACTAGCGGATGACCTGTATGTGTTTTCCTGCAGGTTTGAAGGGAAACTTCAGCCACCTATCTCCACAACCCCCATCTCAAACACACCAACAACAGCCAAGCCTCCTACAATTGGTACCAACCCATTGGGCTCACAACCTCTGGTGATCACAGAAAAAGAAGTGCAAGATCTATTTCACAGACAAAAGCCAGGAAAAACACCAAGGGCAGAGAAGATAACTCCTTGCTTAAAAGTATGTGCTGACCAATTGGCTCCCATCTTCACCTGAATCTTCAATAGATCACTAGAGATGTGCTATGTTCCTTCTTGCTTCGAATGATCTACTATCATCCCAGTGCCAAAGAAGCCCTCCATCAAGAAACTGAATGACTACAGACCAGTTGCTCTAACATCTGTAGTTCTGAAAACCTTTGAAAGGCTAGTGTTGTCCCACCTGAAAATCATCACAGATCCGCTGTTAGATATCATGCAATTTGCATACCGAGCAAATAGATCGACAGATGATGCTGTTAATATGGCTCTGCATTACATCCTACAACACCTTGAATCTCCAAATACCTATGCAAGGGTCCTCTTTGTAGACTTCAGTTCAGCATTCAATACCATCATTCCAGACATTCTTCTAACTTAATTAAACCAACTAGTATTACTGAACACACTTGTAAGTGGATCATAAGCTTCTTAACAGACAGGAAGCAGCAGGTGAAGCTAGGCAGAATCACATCTGAAACTTGTACAATTAGCACAGCCCCCCATTGCCCAAGGCTATGTGCTTTCTCTTTCTCCCTGTATACCAATGACTGCATCTCAAACAATCCATCTGTTAAAATACTGAAGTTTACAGATGACACAACAGTGATTGGTCTCATTTGAGACAACGACGAATCCTCATACAGACAGGAGGTTGTACAACTTGCCTCGTGGTATAACCGGAACAATCTGGAACTGAACACACTCAAAACCATATAAATGGTGGTAGACTTTAGAAGAAACTCTCCCATACAACTCTTACAATACTAGACAACACAGTATCAACAGTAGAGACCTCCAGATATCTAGGTTCTATTTTAGCACATCTCCTAAAATGGACACCTAACATAAAAAATGTCTTGAAAAAAGCACAACAAAGAATGTTATTTCTGCACCAACTCAGAAAGCTCAAACTGCCTAAGGAACTGCTGATACAGTTCTACAGTGGAATTATTGAATCTGTCATCTGCACCTCTATAACTGTCTGGTGTGGTTCTGCAACCCAACAGGACAGACACAGACTTCAGTGGATAATTAGGATTGAAAAAATTACTACAATTACTACCAATCTGCCTTCAATCGAGAACCTGTATACTGCACAAATCAAAAACAGGGCTGTGTAAATATTTAAAGACCCCTCACCTCCCAGACATAAACTGCTTCAACTCCTTCCCTTAAAATGACACTATAGAGCACTGCACACCAGAACAACTAGGCACAAGGACAGTT